AGAAAACAACAATTTTACGGGGGAATTCCCCAGGAACCCTAAGGTGGTGTTATCTCGATCGGCCACACTTTTGGAGGCCCCTTTTCAGACATCTACGGATCCGCCCGTGCTTGACGACCAATTTGGGGACCTTGGGCCTTCACCAGGGTATCTCTGCCACCATCATCAACAACATTAATACCAGCAACAATCAACTCAGACAGTGGCATAATACAATTAATTCCATGAACTATCAACCACAATCACTGTTTTCCTGGAACATTGACATCTAATGCCAAATAATGCAGAAAAAACCCCACTTTAGGCTATGCTTCCATGGCATTTATTATCCAATAAATTATTGGAAAGCAACCATTTTGTTATTATTCGCTGCAGAAACGGGGCAAAAAGTTTCTCATAAATTTGAGAAAAAAATTTAAAAAAAAACAAATTTGATTAAATTACTCATGCTTATTAAATTTTTTTTTTTTTAAATCTAAAACGGCTGCACTTGACGTCGTGTGCCTGGCGGGGCCTAGGTCTATCCCTACCTACCGTTTATTGTCATAAAGCACACCAAACAAAGCTAGCATTCTTTTTCATCTTTTCAATCCCATAGAAGTACAATGAAGCATCATTGTGACAGTATATTTCCCAGGGTGAAATAGTACCGAACGATTTCGTTCTTGACCTAGGCTTATCCACCACGCGCAAAAAAAAGGGTCACCTGCTAAGTCAACAAAACCAATGTTTTGATGCTGTACACATTGTATTGTTGTTCATAAAGTTGCATGATGGGATAAAATATTTGGAGGGATAATTTATCGGAGAAATTAAAAGAGATGCGGAAACACAGCCTTAGTCACTCGTAATTTTTAATTCAAATTTATGAAGCGACTCAGATAATGAAATAAATAAGTGGATGATCATTACAAATCAACTACAATCAAAACCATGTAAACAGTTGATTGATAGCCCCACATCGCTCATTAAAGGGTGTTTACTGCTTCTTCCTAGGGTCATCAAAGTCTCTTCTTGTATAATCTATCGCTCTCTGTCATCGTAAGCAAGCAACATTATCTCTTGCGGTAAACAATACAGTCTTCGTATTGTGTTTTCACCCAGTGGAGAGTGACACTTTACATAAGTTGTTTAAGTTATGTGCAACACTATCATGTTCCATGTAACAAATGTGTATATTTGCCCAAATACGGGCATGATGATGTCATATCACACCCATATATGGGCAATCATGTGATAGTAACTTTGGTTAACTTAAGGTCTCACAGTACAAGATGGTCTTTACAGTACTAAAATTGAATGCTGTAAACCAGATGTGTTGTTCTCTCTCAATTGTTTATAATTAATTGCATATATTTCACTAATAATTTCTATTTCACTAATAAAATCCAGAATAAATTACCTTCGGCCTGAGCACTGTAAACAAGATGTGTATCTCAGTTGTTCATATTTAATTTAGTTGTATTTATTTATATATATTATAATTTATGTACCACTTTAGAAATCAGAGAATAAATAAACGTGTGGATTAAGCAGCATAACCCACATGTGCTGTGTTCCCACGAGTGTTCATAATTAATTAATTTGTATTTATACATGTTTCAGATATATTTATTGTATTTTAAGTAGAGCATTTGTATTATAAGCACTTGTTAGATGGAAAAATTATTAGAATAATCTTTTATTAGATAATATATCATTTTTTTTTTATTTCCCCCAGTTTTTAAATATTCAAAAATTTGTATCTCATTCACTGTTCCCCAGTTTTTCGTTAGACAAATTTTTTCAGTGCTACAACATATCAAAAATGTTTTTTTCCTCCAGAGCCTGACTTTTCTAACATATTACTAATACTATAAATAATAAATAACAAAAAATCAACTTTATATTCTTAATATGAGTGAATACAATTAATTACATATACACCTAAATATCAAATATAATTTGTATAAGGGCATCACTCTGAGACAATCATTAATGTGTAGTGTCCTTGGGCAAGTTACTTTGACTACACTGCTTGTCTCCTGAGGAGTTAAAGTTAATATCTGGAACAGAATAATGAATTCAGTCTGTGCAGACATTTAAGAAACACAACCACAAAAAAAAACAAAAAAACTATGTTGGCACACTCAGCATAATTGCTGGTGGGTGATAAAGACATTAGATGATCATCATCACCACAATGACTGGCACGACCATCAAATAAAAGATTTATTAAATATTATTATTTTTATCATAATACATAAACACAAATAAATTATAATACTATATATCCCCTGATTAAATCAGCAAACATGAAAACCATGCATTATTAAACAATATACGCACCATTCCATTTATATGCTTTAACACGTTGACTGCCAGACCATTTTAAGGTTCCTTCCCGGGTGCCAAAACAAGTTTATATGTACAAACATACTTTTTTGAAATTTTATCTAGTCATATATCATCAAAATGATGTGTCTAATAAATTGGCGGGAAAATATTAAGGGGCAAGTATACACGACTATACTGACTGTACTGACTATGCCAAGTGCAAGTTATCTCGTCCGCTTTTTACATGGGTTGGTATATGTTTAAAGGGCGCCCCCACTTGTACCGCTCAAGTGTACTACCGGCAACATAATACAACAAACATACATGCGTCATTTGTACGTTATCATCTAGGTGTATCTTCCCCAATCTACCAGCCATTCTACAATGTATAATAAAGAAGTTATAAACGCTAGAATGTTACCCCGATTTTGAAGAGTATACTCATCCCTGGCGCCCTCAGCAACACCCCGTTGGCGAGTATACTCGTCGCTGGCAGCCAATGTGTTAAACCTCTGAAGAGACAAATAAATGCTTCTTTACATATATTTTTGAAGGTCTCCACAAAGCCAGATTTTCTAATATCTGTGGGTAAATCTTTCCATATCTTTGCAAATGACCTATCTCACACTTAAAGTTGAGTAACAGGCTGCTATAGACAGAGATGGTCAATTGTTCATCTTAGACGACGTCTGTTGGGAACATAGTTCCAGACAGTATGACAAATATATGGGCCCAAGCCCATTAAGTGACTTGTAAACTTTCAATATTTTTAAAACAATTATGCTTGACTGAAAGCAAATGAAGCGATATCAAATTGAATAAAAGTTCAGGGGCCAGTTTTGCAACTATTGCAGCCAGATGATGTACAAGTTTTGTAGACTAGACAAGACATCATTGCAATTTTCTAGTCGTGAAAGAATAAAAGATCAGACAGATATGTTACAAGCATCTTGGTTATTAAGAAGGATTACAATTATTCTGGAATATATTTGGGAAGGGGAAGGACTACACAAAACATTGCCACTTTGAGGTATGGTATGAAACATTAAAGTATATAAGATTGAGCCACAAAAAGTAATGATATTAAATTTAGTTCCCTATATCATCCCAGAAACCTATTTTACATCACCCTTCACAATCACTGACAGAATTATAAATCAAATGTATTATATCTATTACGAAAATAATTAGAACTATAAAAAAAAAAAAAGGGTAGATGAATAAATGGAACAATAATAGTTCATTCCTCTGAAATTTCCAACCACCAACAAGCAGTCATGACAATAAAATTTGTTGATTTAGCATTGGTGGTCGACAATAACATCAACCCATTTACTTTTTCTTATCTATTGATGCCTTTCGCAAACAGCGGGGAATACCTCACCACTTACAGGAATGCTATAAATCTGAAAATGCTCTATAAACTAATTCTCATAGCAAGGGTTCCTAGAAGTGGAGATGTTGTTTACAGTCATGATAAAAAAATGGTTAATGCAAAATTTGAACCCAGAGTCCTGGGAATCGGAAGTAGCATCTGCAATTAAACTGTATTTGGGTTCCAGCAGCGGTTATGACTCGGGCTCTCAATCTTAAACGTCTGACGTTTGAATAGCAGCTAGCCCGGTAAGCTGTCCCTGGTTCAATCCCATCGCTGCTCTCCTTTTATTTCAGCTGGAAGTCTTTTGGATGAGACATTTATTCCGTTATGTTTCATGTGCACGTTCAAGAACACAATACATTCTTCGTATTGTCTCCTGGTGTACTGCCCAATTGACCACCAGAATGACCCCACTGGGAGTTAGGACTTTCGTAGGCAATTCTTGGTGTGTATCACACCAAAAAAATTCAACCTCACTGTGAATTCCTGTGTCCTTGGGCAAGGCAATTTACCTTTGGTTGTCTCAACCTTCACCTAGGAGTATATGGGTACACCTGTGCGCTAATTACTATTTACTAACATTAAAGTACACTAATAGAATTCTTCCCCTGAAACTCAGCATTTGTTCCTTAGTTGTTTGAGTGGGGTATACTGTGAAGCACATAGAGACTTCATTGGCATGATGTGTTATTTAAAAGCATGCATATTATATATAAATTTCACCCTCCAATTTGAGATTCTGCTAATTCCACGGCCCGTTAACCTTTTAAAAATTTACCAATTAACAATCTTCAATCTTTTTACACAATGGTTAGCCCTATAACTGGAGACCAAACCCAAGACCACTCCACATTTTCTGGTCCCAATGGAAGTCTGGGATAATATATCTTTATTTTGAAATGGAAAGCTTGATTACCTTTCCATGCAACAAGGCTGTTTATAAGTATAAAATAGTGCAATGAAATAATGTAAAGTACAGATGAAAAAATTAGAAGCATTGAAAAACAAAATTGGAGGGCAAACAGTATTTCTAAAAAACAACAGCAATCACCATTTTCAGGTTTGTAAAAATCTATAATACATAGAAAATTAACATTTTTTGGTCAAAATATACAAAAATGAGGCCAGAATTTGAATAAGCACACAGGTCTGTAACCCATCTCAATTAATAGAATAGAATAGAATAGAAATCTTCCTTTATTCTAGATACTCAGTATTAGTACACTGTTCTTCCCTGAGGTCCAGCGTATGAACTTAAACTACATTAAAAACAAATTGATTTGCAGAGGCTAATAAAATACCTTACCAACAAAAGGAGTAGTAACTGGAGGCCACGATGGTGCTAGTTGATTGATTTCATCATTCATCACCATCAGCTGGTTCAACTGGCTAATGGCTTCTCTCATCATAGGGTTCTCAGTCGGACCTTGGAAGTGTTGGATGAACAACTAAAATATTAAAAAATTTCACTGACAAATTAGTCATAATATAAAAACAATATCCATCTTTAAACAATATTAACATATAGAAAAAAAATGTTGCTTAAAAAATTTTAAGATTTAGTACAAAAAAATAGTAATTACTATGTAATATCAACAATTTGAAATAAAATTAGAATTATTCACATGAGAAATAAATTTTAAATAAAAAAAAACCGTCCCTGCACACAAATAATTAGCAGTAAAAAAAATTATTATTATTATCTTTGTATTAAGCTTCCAAAATTAATTCTATTTGCAGAGACAGAGCACAGATTTCCTTGGCGCCATATCTATGGAACACCATCCCAAGGCACATCAGATATGTAACTCCATTACCATACTCAAAACCACATTTGAAGACCTATTTTTTACACTGTTGAAATTGAAATTCTGGCTTTATTGATTTTCTCTCTTCTATCAACCAATTTTGTTCTCATTTAGCTTTAGATCCATCATTTTGAGCAGCTGAGAATTATTTATCAAAAGGTCTTCTGCTAAAGTTACTGGTGAGAATTTCTCTTGGCTCAAGTGGCATCAAGGCCCCCTGTATTTTCTACTATATAACTCAAACATTGACATTCTCCTCATCATTATTATCGTTATATTAGTACAACATATGTTCCAAAGTTCATAACAATATACCCAAAACATACATACCGTATTTAACCGAATAAATGCCCTGGGCTGTTCATTATTTAGAAGGGTTTATGAGGGGGAGTTTATTTGAGGGAGGTGTTTTTCTTTAGGTGTAAAATGGATACATATATACTCAAATAAACACCCCTTAAGTTCACTGTAAATGTAGAACAACAACACATAATCGCACATAATTACCGTCAAAATGTGTTATTGTGTGATAATGAAGACTTATTGATCCCAACCAGGTTAGAAAAAATGTAATTTGTAGAACATTAATAAAAATAATGTTGCTTCCATTAGATTTGTTTAGACATTTAGGAGGCGTTTATTTGAGGGAGGCATTTAATATCAATTGCAAATGTATGATATTGCTGTAATAAAAATGCAAAGAAAATTATGAGTAAATTCAGTTTTCATTTCCAATAATTTCTAATAATAATCTATATAAAAGGGGTTACACAGTTTTTATTAAATGCTAAATCTCTGCAGTAATACATTTGGAATTTTTGAGCGACATTAAAGAGACATTTTTAACGTGATGAATATCCACTAAATACTTTCAATGTGGGAAAATTAAATGTTAAAGCTCTCAAACTGAACGTCAACTATCATTAGTTACATAACGATGGATTGGACACTGGTGATTGCCCTTTAGTTTGATTTAGTGGTTGTAGCCTTTACAGTGTATATAATACTGGTTGATTTTTTTTTACCCAACCTTCGTGGTACACCAATGTGTTTAATCATTGTCACAATTCCTATAATGTCTTGTTTCTTTCCTTTTTACTACAGTGGCTTATTCATATTGATTGTACATAGCTTGCAGATCAAAGTACAGTACAGTATATATTTGATGCACTTGTGGGTATATTGGCTCAACACTGGTTACTTCTGAAAAAAAGCCATAATACTCTTTTAAAGATATCTGTCTCAGCCGTTAGCTCTGAATACACTATTAAGATTTATGAGGCAAATACCTGTGATATGCCCAAAAATAGATGTAATATGACATCATCATGCATATATATGTATACGATATATCATTATGCCCATATATGGGTACATCACAGAATAAAACTTAAAGATCTATGTGCGCAAAAATGAGATTTTCAATTTACTTTAAGTATGAGTGTTAAAGGACAGGTCATGTAATACACTTTAAAAGGTTAACAACATGAAAATTACCAGATATAGAGTGCAACAAATTACCAGTGGCTATTTACATAAAATTAATCTGGAGTAAGTAGACGTCACCAAATTAAGTTCTCGATGACATACTTAATCATGGATTTATTGCAAGAATTACTTGTAGTTATGATTTCATTACCAACTTAAAAACAAACATCAGTCAGAAACATACAAATAATTTCAAATCATATATAACTTTTTTATGGGGGAGGGGGTGAAGGTGGGGGTGTTTGATAATATAAATATATATAATAATCTATCCCCACGTACCCACTAACTCACTCACAGACAAAAACACATCCTTATGTTCAAGGTTATCCTAATAAATCAATCAATATTTTATTGCCAACTTCAATCAGAGCTTTCGTACGGATGAGAAACATTATTTCTCATCCGATAGGGTACTTGGAGCTCAAATTGATACATGTGTATTATAGTAATCCTACAAGCAACTGTCTGTACCATTAACCGCTATATCACCAAACTGGGTCCTCTGCTCCAGTATGAAGGGTCTCAGCGGTTGTTTAGCTATCTTTATGGATCTTGTGCCCGAGAAAGAAATCTGTTAGTTTAGATGCGGTTTTTTGTTTTGTTCAGCATTACATCAACTTAAACTGATAGCTACAGATTGTATCACGTTCTGCTGCATTTAAAGCGCGAATAAAATTACTTTAATTTAAAATCCCTAATCGGAATATAGCAGGATTCACTAGAAAAGCTGTGAGATTTATTGAATGAGTATAGTATTATTATTATAACTCTGAATGTTAACTTGCACTATTTTTCTTAATATTATCATGACAGAGTTAGAGAATCATGCGATTATTGTAGTATATTGTTGTTCTTATTATTTTTAATACTATTCTGTACATTTCTATTTCGGTATTATACTTTGATTAAATTAATTTGCACTAATTATGTTAACTTATAAAATCTGTTTTTCTGTTGCAGACAAGTGCCTCGAGGTAGTTAACATTAGGCACTATGTAAGTACAGATTGTCATAATTATTATTGTTAAAGGAAAATATTCTTTTGAGCAAATAATCAATTTAACTTGAATTTGATTTATTATGATATATCATGATATGTCAATTTAATTTAAAGCAAATACAAATGATGTTGACTTATGCAAATTACAGTATCTGTTTTTCTTCAGTAGCTGGTGCCTCAAGGTTAACATTTGGAGGTATATATAAATATAGATTATTTACCAATAATAATATTGTATAATAGGAAAATATTCTTTTGAGTATATAACTAACTCTTGTTATTCAACATATGCTGATATCATGGTAAATCACTTAGACTACATTGAGACGAGTTAGGTTGACGATCCTTATGCGCCAGGTATTAGCTAATCCAGTGCAATCCCAGAATGTTTGCACACGTCAGCTCGATTAACAAACGTTAGCATAAGAAGCGTACGTTGCGTCAGTGCTCTTTTCTGCTACCTGCTGATGATGGAAAGAATTACCGATAAGGCAAACCTACATCCCATCCATTCTACGAATTAGCACAATGCTACCTTGCATTTGACTAGTCCTAAGTTCAAACAGACGGATCAATGATCTCGGCTGCCTTCTATGCTACTCTATTTGTCATTATAATTACAAAAAGAGGAATGACAGAGTAATATCATAAAATAAATAAATATAAATGCTGACGTAGTATTCATTAGGCAAGTGTCGATAAGTGTAGCCATCTGAGAGGTCTGCTAGTATGTGAGGCCCTGTCCAGACTATCAAATTTTAATTGACAAAAACATGTGACATACCTAAATATAGTCATGATGACATCACATCATGACCATATATAGTCACATCATGACTATATTTGGGCATACAACCATTTTTTTGTCAAAGAAAATTTGATAGTAGACAGAGCTTTAACCAATTTTTACAAAATTAATAAAGCTCATGTCCATACCATCAAATTTTATGTGACCATATCAATTTTTTTTGGGCTGTTTTAATTCAATGTTAACAAAACTTTTATAATACTGCAAGCATGTAAGAAAGACAAAAATGAACAGATTGTGTGCGCTGCACAGCACACTGTTTGGACGATTTCATTATCTAAAAGGGGTATATAAAGTGCACTTTTTTAAAAATGATCAATAATTAGTGAAACACTGTTGAAAATACATTCTTAATAAATGCATAAAACTGAAGAAATAAGATTGTCCACTATCAAGCACATTCATTTAATGAATTTTAACAAGTCTTGTACAGCAGGTGAAATATTTTCTTCAATTCAGAAAATGGAACATGCCAATTCCTTGGGCCAGCTGTCAGCCCGGACAGTTTAATTCTTGAAATCCTTTGATGGAATACAAAGATGATGGAAGAAAATTTTATCCAATCAGATTAATTTTTATATATAACAAACAGATCACAAAGCAAAATTTGCTTTCTGTTGCTGGTTCGAACTAAGAGATTGGATTTTTGTAGGCAAAGTTACGATGTTGTAAAGAAACGACTCCTCATAAGCCAGGTCAAATACTGCTGAAAACACTAATATCGGCTACATTTTTGTAATTCAAAAAATGATGGGGAGAAATATTTTTCAAAAAATATTTTGTAAATTGTTGGCAATAGCTATAAACCGTTTCAACCTAATTTATCCGACCTCTAGTTTTTGAGTTACGGTTTTTGTAGCAAAAACAGTCAATGTTTTTAATGAACGCTAATACAGTAGTTAAGAGATAGGGTGATTTTCACAGCAACGCATTTGCTGTTAAGTGTACCAAACAAATTGATCTTAAATTTTTTGAAGTGCCCATATATGGGTATGATGATGTCATATTACACCCAAATATGGTCATATCACATTTACTTGTCACATAAGATTTGATAGCATGGATACGGCTTAAGACTGAAAACTTGATCTTGACTAAACTTTACTCCAACGGACCTTTCCACTAAGCCCCGCCCATTGGATATCGTTGCAAAGGTCACACAAGACAACGGTGTTAAAACATACGTGAACATGTGCGTGTTGTGAGACGCGCATATTCCTAGCGTCGTTCTGATTAGTTAATTTAAATTGACACTCCAGAAAGGTCTATTGATGATAGCCGTGATGATGATAATGACGTTGATGATGATGACAATGGTTATGATGGTGATGGTCATCAAAATAATGATGACAATAACGATGCTGATGACGACCATGTTGATAATGATGATTATGATAACAATACTGACAATGAATAGTAAAAAAAATATTGGATATTCCTACCTGGTTTGGTGCTTCAGTATGCGTAATTATTACATTGAAGAGTACGCCCGGAGGAGGCAGTTCCATCGTGACAAACTCTAGGCTACTATCACACAAAAATGCTTCACGTTGAGACATTTCAAGTACACTCTTCCCTAGGTAGTATATTCTCTCTTTCTCTGACAATGCTCTGAGCCTGGTATCCTGCATTCTATAATCATTATCATCATCGCAAAATATTACATCTTGACTGTTATACAATGCTCCATTGAGTAACGCCTCTCGCAGATTTTGTCCGTTTGGCATTGTTATCTCGACCAATAAGGGGGATCCTCTGCGCCACTTGCCCTTCAAATTAGATTGAAATCAACTGCTTAAAAGCCTTATCTAATGTGAACAAGAGGGTATTTATACAAGACAGTTTCTTTGAAAAACAGGAATGCATATGTAATGTAGGAAAAAAAACAATGTCTATATTTAAAATCACATTCTATTGCTTATGTTCAGACTTAGTTTAAATAGCATTAGAATGTATTCCATCCCATTAGTGAACGAGTCACTCACATTAGATAAAAGCGTAAAGTCAAATAAACAGACACAAACCTTTCTCTCTATGGTACAAACAGTCAGGTTTTCATACATAAACTTCAGTGCATTGGTTGGCCAACAGTTGGCAGCATTTACCTACAGAGATTAAAAGACATATATTTAATAATAATATCTTCAAATAGTAAACCATTTTTTTTTAATGTACTTACGTTAGCAAAAAAAAATGGTTTATACTATTTTTAAATAATTGGATTATCAGTTACAAAACCAGATGAAACTATTTGATCAATAATATCTTCAATAAAGATAAATACTGACATGGGTCAGTTAACATAGGTCTCCTTTACTAACAACTCTTTAAATTAAGTCGTTTTAATTTGTTTGATCAAATCCCATTATAGTTTCTTGGCCCCATAATGAATATTACTGCAATAATAAGATGGTCCTTTTATTTCCAAGACCTGGGGCTCAGCTGCAACTAAATTGTAAATTACCAATAATTTCCGCATGGTGCCATTTGTTTCCATACCTGGTTAAGGCACTTTATTCATGTTATTACAGCTGACTCTCTGAAGAAGAGGTGAAGGGTATTGCAATAGCGTGCGTCTGTTTTTGTGTTGTGTTGTGTTGTGTGTGTCTGTCTCTGTGTTAGTGTGTCCTTCTGGGTACATAAGAAAAGAAAAAAAAAATTGAAACTTGAAAACTACTGGACCAATTTAAATCAAATTTTCAGACATTGACAATGTTACATGTATCTCGGTCCTCCACGAATTTGGTATGGAGATGCAAATTTTAGAATTTTATTTATATATGTGCAGTCCAAGTCGTTTGGCTAGGCCGAGCCAACTCCAGCTGGTCGACTGCGGGCCTAGAGTAGGGGGTATGTCCAATTTTGGCCAGCTGACAGGAAGGCGTGCAAACTTACCCAATCGATGGGCTTGCCATGCGAAGGCTATGATGCTAAGCCTCATTTGGCTGATCAAGCAGATCGATTACAGGTCATTATTTTTTCAATACATAAATATGGCGCAACAGGGCAAGGTTTTGTATTCTCAGATTATCTTTTTTTGTCTCGTATGATTCTTCTTCTGCTATGCTGCTAGCTTCAACATACCGGATATTATTACAGGGTTCGGACGTTTTAAAACAAGTAAATTTTCAGGACAATTCCAGGACATTCCAGGTCAAATTTTCCAAATTTCAAGGACACATTATATCGCCTAACAGTAAAATATCGGTGATAATATGATTGATTATAAAACATGTATGCTGTACTAACTTTAAATGCATGTTAGTTGGGTGTATATTAAGTTTTATCTAACTCTATTTTGGAGGCAATGGATCTGCCTCTTTTTCTCACGCTCTTGGGAAATTCTGTTTTTCTCACACATGTAAAAATTTGTTATAAGCAAGGAGTTCCCACGTATGTGGGAAAGTACCGGTAAAGTAAGGCAGAGTTGCTCGCCTACAGTTGAGCTGGAGTAGAATACTCTCCTCAGCAACATGAATGTGCGCGTACAACGATGGTCTTATCTTATCGCTTAAACGTATCAGTGCCTTTGGTGGTATCGGCGCGCCAAAATAACTTGGCTCTTTTGTAACGCCGCTGCGTAGAGTACACGCCCTGTCCAGGGTTGTTGTTCAGCGAATGATAACTGTCTCAGCTGTGGCGAATTTGTCATTAATATGGATATACAGTAAACAATAGCCTTCTTCTATAGGTGCATGTTGCAGAGACATTGAATTATTTTATTTCACACACATTTAGGTGTTACTTTCATATATGTACTGTATTATTAATTAATTTAAATAATGGTTTCTCAAATACAATTCTTTAAACAGCTATATGTTAAACTCCTGTAACTTCACAACGAAACGTCGCGTTTAAATGAGTCTTTCACCATTCTTTCACTTTCATTTTACCGATTAAACCTGTATTAATAACTAAAATTTGAGGAGTGACTGGTTTGCCTCGTCTTTGTCACATTTGAGATACGTGGGGAAAGGGATGAGAGGATGAACTTGTGTATTAATTCTGTTAGCTCCTATTCTTTGTGTACAGAATTTATTAATCATCCATATTGGCCATAATGCACAAGGGCCCACAGGAACAATGTTAAACAATGTTAAAGATGATTGAAAGTTGCATTTCAGCTTTGCAGCAGAAAAACAAGAGTGCAATTACGGTAATTGAACCAGGAAACAACGTTATGTTTAAAAGATCTGCACAGTTCAGCGTATTCACAGTGGCTTCCACCAGGTTAGCCTACTGAGCTAAGCTGCTCTCTGATGGATGATTAAGTGCCCAATTTGAAGAGAGATATTTAAAAGCTCATTTGTTCAGTGGCAGGATGATGCATGTTGCTACTAAGTTGAATATATTTGGTCAAAGCTGATGTTCATGAATAACTAGGAATGTTCGCTAGGTACTCTCAACATTGGTAATTTGGCTATGGCCATGACTATGAAAGTAAATGTAGTTTGTTGTTATAATTTGACAGTATTTCCAATGGCTATGCAATTGATGATGATGTTATAATTTGACAATGTTTTCAATGACAATGAATTAATGCAATTATTAAAATTTGACAATGTTTCCACTGACTACAGAAATAATGCAACTACTCTTTATATGTTATTATTATCAATACTAGTATTACTATGTGGTACATAAAGAAAAATATATAAAGAAAAAGAAAAAAGTGAAAAATCATCAAAATCAATCCTCATACAAAAACTTCTGATATACGAGACTGATGGAATATACAACACTGTACGCTTCTGTTTGTTAATATTCCCCGAGGTTCCATAGTGGTTCCCCAGGCAGTCAAACAAACGACTACAAATTGGTCACTCAATAATCTGTCATGAACTTACTATTCTTGACCCATAGAGAATGCATTCTAAACATTGATGAGGGATCTCTGTAAAGCATGTCGCTATCCGCAGTTTGTCAGCTGTCATGGCCTCGCTGTTGCCAAAATCCACGTACTGCACCTGTGTGTAAAGAAAGGCGTGCATTGAGATGAATGACGTGTCATAGTCAACGAAAGAAAAATCATTTAAATGTCAAGAGTCAAAAAAATGTGAAGTTTAGTTTGTTACCTAATTTTCCAATTATGCTTGAAAAAAACCCCTTTTTTTTCTCCTCTCAGGAATGAAACATTCACCATTAGATTTCAATTTCACATGCAGAAATCAAACTTATTCATTATTATACTTCAATTCATGCTTGAGGGAGACATTTTGGCACCGTGCATCAGGTTTATGGAAATAAATATATACTGCACATGGTCGAATATGCCGGATGCAGCCGATATGCTAGTGATATATCAGATGCACTAATTGTTTACGTTCTCTTATGACGTCATACGCAACTTGCAACCTCCTATCCATGTGGATACTGACTCTTATAAGAGTGACCCACATTTTATTAACGTTATTCTCTGTCATTTCTTTTATTTTATTTCTTCCATATCCTAAAGCAAGAACATTCTGCAATTACAGAATGGAACATTGCTCTATAAACTATGTTTATGGCGCTAATTAGCGAGTTGTTTTTAGTCGGCAGAAAAGAAAATTGTGGTGTCCAGCAGATTTAAACGCAGGAAACTGGGACTGAGCGGCAAAGCATCTAAACTATCACGATATAAACTTCATTCTACCTAAAGTGTCTAGATGGAGGAGAAAATAAAAATAATTTGTATTGAAGAATTTAAAAAAATGTAAAATGTAATTATGGATGATCTTTAACCCCTACATGTGACATGCCTAAAAGTGGTCATGACATAATATCATGACCATATATAGGCACATCATGACTATATATGGGCATACAATATCTTTTTGTCAAAGAAAATTTGATAGTGTATATAGTTGCATTTTCAAATTTTTCAAATATATAATTTCAAAATTCAAGTTATAAGTTCAATGAAAAAGAAGGTTCAGCCTGGGTCAAAAGGTCAGACTACTCATTACTATTTATACTCAATTTCCATAGGTCAAATTCACCAAGTTGCCACAAGTTCAGAAGTTCAAACTTGCTATATACATTCTAATTGTTAGCGTGTGTAGGACTAAATGTTATATTAAACAACCTACTCAGACGAGATTTTTTTATAACTTGTTTTGCCAACTTATTTTTTTTAAAGATTGTCAGAGGGCGGAAAGAAGATATAAATAAAATTTTGTGTTCTTATTTACCAAATGGTTTTGTGAAAAACATCCAGAAGGAGGAAAAAATAAAATGCTATTGTTGAATGTAAACACTGTAGTAATGGGACGGTTAAATGCTGTAAATTTATTTAATCTTATTTTTTATTTCAAGGCAACGGACAAGGGCGTAATAAAAACCTCTGAAATTTTAAGTTTTTCGTAGCACTGAGTTTGCTAATTAGCCAAAAATAAAATTTTATTTTTATTTTAAATCATCAATATTGGCAGGCAACGTGTTCACAATAACAAGGTATAAAAAATGTCTTGCCTCAACTTAAAAAAGGAGCCTGAAAAAAACTGTTTCATTTAATTTTCATCATTTAAAATTTTTTTTTCAGAAACTTAAGACTTTCTTTAGTCTTAACATGCTAGAGAGATTTTCTTGATCAATTTTGGATTTACCAATCAAAAAACGAACTTAATGAGATTTCACATGAGACACATTTCTGTACAAATGTTATAATGCACTTTTGCATAGCATGTAATTACATTTACTTGCAATGGTTGGCCTGATTTTTTTTAACATTAAACTCAAAGTATAATCATAAACTCTTCAAATATGGTATACCTTTATTATTCTTTTTTTCAACATCAATACTATTTAAAAATGTCATCAAACATTCTGTTCAAACACAATTTTAATCTTTTTTTTATTTATTTTATTATGCATAATGTGTCTCCATCCAATACCAATACCAAATAAGATCTAAGAGATGCGAGTTTGGATATTCATCTCTGAGAGTTGGTTAACTCAAAAATACGAAGTCGTCAATCAACAGATCAAATGTTTCTAATAATAATTTAGTTTGTCCTTGAATCTAGCTCGTCCTTTAATGAAAAAAACTGCTTTATAAATATTTCATTACATTAAGGAACTTTATTTTTTATACATATTCAGTTAGTGATTGGAATTGTTTATTAGTTTATCGATCAAACTTTAAATTTTTAATCATGTTGTACACATAGTTGAGTTAATCCAATGAAGGTTAATGAGGCATATAT